GGCACTATGTACAAACGAAAACATCCTGAGAAGATTTCTCGTTCTGATTATTAAACATTTTGAAGCTGAAGTTTTAAGTTTAAAGTCACACCGTTAGTTACAGAATTAAAAAAAGTTTAATTAGTAGATTGCCAGAAATTGTTGTTGTGTAGCTCTCTGGTGCAGAGTACTTATTCAGAAGCTAACAGTCGCTTAGCTAGTTAAAAAATTTCCGTCGTCTATGGAACTTGAAGGTTCATTGCCGTGTTTACAAGAGCAAGCAGTCGGTCCTTATCCTAAGCCAGATGAATCCAGTCCACTTCCTACCATTCTTTTCTAAAGATCCATTTTAATATTATATTTTAATTTAAAGTTAGTGGTGCGTCCCCTTCAGGTTTTACACCGAATTGTTTGTAATATTTGTAAGCATTGCTCATGGTCAGTTCATATCCTCTTTGGTTTGATTGCCCTAACAATATTTAGAGAAAATAAAATTTATTTGTATCAGTAAATAAACATATCGACAGGCAGTGGCGAGCGTGGAATTAGTTACAAAGGATTGTATAGATCGACTTGTTTGTACACTTATCGAGTGTCGTATTTAGTGACATTTATGAATGACAGTAAATTACGTACTACTGGCTACCGCTTATCAGAAGTTTATTTTCACAAATGAAATTGCTGGTCGTATTGTTAAGATTACTTTCCTTTTTCCTCGTAAGAATTTCGTATTCCTTACTCAGAATCGCGGCTGTGCCATTGTTTGCTCGTAGCAGTAGTAACCGCTCACTATCACCGATGTCCTCAATAACACCCATGTTCTTGTAGTATAAATAAAGGCAACCGCCCAAAGTACCGAGCTCAGAATTGCAGAAGGAAGATAATATAGCGGTAAGTTCAGTTTAGTGGTTAACAATTGAATGGCGTGAGTATGTTTGTCAGACTCCTCGCATTTATATTTAAATTCACATAAATGGACCTTAAAAGCTGTTTAAATAAAACTCTCTTCGTACAGCGTAATTCATTTATTGTTGTAATAAGCCAATGATAGTGCACTTGGCCTCAGAAAGGAGTTTCTTATTGTAAAATGCATAAAAATTTCAATTTTGCAAAAAGAGGTACAAACAACAAAATTGGTTCTTTTTCTTTTGTGTTAAATAGGCTTAACATTTATGTAATGAATTTGTATTAGCTAATAGAAGTTTTTTTATAAAACTTTGCCACCACAACTTTGTGATCCATAATTTCTTACGAATGTGGAAACCTTGCGACCTCGTGAGATGGGAGCGATGTAGCGTTGTTAATTAAGCATCTGTGACAAGAATGTCGTGGAAATAGATAATAAGCATGCCGGAAAAGTCTTTATGAGTCATAATGTCGTGTATTAACAACTGGAAACGACGCGACGCTTCGAAATGATTAAGTTTCTATTGGAAAAGTTTAATACAGTTGGAATCAGTGCTGGTTTGAATTATGTGGGCAACTGGCTTTTTCATTTGTATAATTATTAATTTTTATTCTTGCTAGCCTCGGCATGTACATTGAGACATTTGAAGGAAATTTGAAACCGTAAGTTCTGCCAGAACTTATTATTCATCATTTGTGACATATAAATGTTTCACTTTACATACGTGCAGCCCCACTTTAGGAACATTTTTGAGTGAAATTATTTTTTTTTCTGAACAACTCATGAAGAAACACACACGTGTATTTTCGGTGTTCAGTAAGAAGGACTCGATTAATTACAAATTATGTTTCGTGTAAGCTATTATTACCGAAAACCAAAGACTATGAGCCCGGTTGGAGGGGGGAGGAGGAGAAAGAGACATTGTGTAAATACTAGTTGTATTAACCCCTATACGTGTTGTATAACACTGTTTTCTCAAAATATCTGCATGAAGTTGGTTGGTTGTCACTTAAATTTTCTGTAGTTGTTGACACCTGAAGCATAATTTTAGCGGAATCTGTTGAATGGTTTCGGAGATGAAACGTGGGGACTAACACGGCCTCCTCGTATATTCGTCGTATTTATTTACTTGATTGATATTCATATTTCGTAATAGGTTAAGATAAGTACGTTCGGGATTCGAAGCGTGGACTCCCTGAATGTAAGGCAGTCCAAGTTCAACTCCAATAGAACCAGTTTCAGTTCTAACGTAAATAAAGACGTACAGTTCGCGTTTTCTTTGTTATCAGCCGGGCGTTGTTTTATTTTACGCGTGTAGATACCAACATATCGCGTATAAACTTCCTTGTAAACGTCACAGATTTCTCAACAAGAAATAACTGTTTTGTAAGAAGTGTCTCAACTCAAATAAAACGGAATTCACAGTATCAGAAGAGCGTTGTTATGCAAGAAAAGATAACAAATCATTCCTAGATTGATTTATTTTTTGACATTTGTTCTGTATTATCAAAGTTCACAGCACATTTTTCCGTCACCAAGCCTGTACTCGGCCACCTACTGGCTTGGTGACGGAAGTTCGATTCCCGGAAGATACAGTATTTTTATGCTCGCCTCTACGTCTAGACTTGCCCTGGAGCGAATCTATCCTTCTAACCCTGGGGTTCAGGGATTCCTTCCTCGAGGGTAAATAAGCCGGATCGTGAAGCTGACCCCTCCCCTCCAGCTGCGAGTATTATGTCCTCTACCCCTTGCCCCTGTAGCAAGCCGTGTCTTCAGGTTTGGGTTGAACAGCGTTTTTGTGGTTGTAGAGGGTAAATGCTGATGTACTGAATAAGCGGTCGCGATGGGAAGTATAGAAGTGGTCTTGAAATTCCATGGCTGATTGTGGGCCGAATTAAACCTCTTCTCTTCACATGAAAGAAAACCTAGTCTTTTACGAATTTTCCAAACGTACGGGAATCTCGTAAATAATGTTGGGCAGTTGCAGGGCGTGATTATACGACAGAGTTAATCCTTCTTCTTTCATGTTTTGTCTACTAATGCTGTTACACTTACAGTTGACCTTCCCAGTCCAGGACTTATGTCTCTTCTCAGTAGGTTTATATTCCATAATCATTTTAGGTGTTATTGGAACTTAGGCCAGTGGACATAAAGCTAAGCACTCAATTAAGAAAATACACCAACTCTTGTGCAATTAACGTCCAGTGTGGTATTACATAAAGTACGGTTTGTAAAGTGCAACCTTTTTGTGCTTTATAACAAACCATCGTGTTATGAATTGTATGATTTAATATGAATTAATTTGTTTGCCACTGATGATGACCTCTTGAGGTCGAAACCGCGTTTGGCACTAAGTGTCTTTTCAAGTGTAAACAGTTTTGTTTGAATGCATGATTTTATGTAGTGTAGTATGGTAGAAGTTTCTTGACATTGCTTGCTGTCTTCATGTTCACCGAGACACTCGACTACACGGCAGTACAACCCAGAAGACAGCCATCTTATTATTTACACATTGTGCACAATAGTACCAAATTAAATGAAAGTATGCATCGATGGGACTCAGATTGAGAACTCCTTATGTCCACTGTCTAATTACTGTTACACTGTAATGATTGATCGCTGCTTGTATTTACACCACACAGGAGTTATGGAGAACGCAGGGGTGTTGGTTTTGTTGTTGGCAGCCCGCATCTACTACTGCATGCCTGTGCTGGAGGATAACTCATTGGATCCTGAAGATGTGGCAGTATTGTACGACGAAACAGTTGCAAAGGATACAGGTTCGTGCCACTGTGTGTATATTAGTCTGTCATTCCTACTTTGTTGTATATATATATCAAATGCAGGCACAAGTGAACTTCAATTACGAACCAGATTTCCTCGGTTCATGCAAATAGCCTAAATTTCTTATTATCTGCATGTAATAGGCGAGAGAGTGGCTGCCTGGAAGATGGACAGCGAAGTGAACCCTGAGGAGATGGGCTTGTACCTGGAGGGCGATATTATGACACCCAAATCTCGCAATGGGCTGACAGCCCAGACCGCGCGTTGGCCTGGGGGAATCGTGCCGTACGAGATGGGAAGTTTCTTCAGTAAGTCCGTCCAGGCTATGACTGGAACATGACTGAGTACGATTAATTGATTCGTGGAATATTTAACGGCAATTATGCTTCTCAGTCGAGCATGTAGCTTTGTATGGTAGGATGAATGTGTGTGAAAGTGAAGTGATATAGAATACTGTTCGTGGCTTAATTCAGGTTATTGTCCCAGTGTTTGTCTGGAGTGACCGAAGGAAACCACGAAAAACCTCGGTTATGATAGCCGGTCTCTGGGCCGATATTCAAACCCGGAACCTCAAGAATGCAACGAAATGTGCTAAGCATTCGAGAGATTGTGGGCCTAACCTGATATGTGGTGTCATTAACTCATTATTTATTTATTGGCACTGTAAAATGTAAGGAAGAATAATTAATCTATTCAATTACGAAAGTAAAGTATTATTTATTTTTAATTTAGAGCACCCGTCTCAAATATTGCACGACTGACTCAACCGGGGACCTCAACAGACAAGGATTTTTTTAAAATTATTTTGACCTGAAGACGGAAGTGGGCCCAACTTACAAAACGTTTTAATGACACCTAGGTGATTGATAACATTTAAAATACGAGTATGTGTCACTATCTTTAGACTTTGATTACGATGATGTTTGCTCTGCTTCTGAAGATAACGGTGACATGGCGATGATCAAGGCTGCAATGGACGAGTACCACAAGAAAACGTGCATCCGTTTTGTACCTCGACAGCCCGAGCACAAAGACTACCTCGTGATCGAAAGTTCCCACTCTGGCTGTTGGTCGTCCGTCGGGCGCGTAGGCGGCCCTCAGAGGGTGAATTTCCAGAGCCCTGGCTGCCTGAGTACTGTGGGGACCCCAATTCACGAGCTCATGCATGCTGTGGGCTTCCTGCACGAGCAGAACCGTGTTGAGAGGGACAAACACGTCGTCATTCATTGGGAGAACATCTTGCCAGGTACTGTAATATTGGCTGGGGATCATGACGAACCGAAGGAATTTTCCCTGTAAGCAGCTCCAGAAACTCTATACCGGCATTGATTTTGTTAATGTCATTTTCCTTTATGTGTTTACTATGCTAACGAGTCTCAGTACGTGGAAGACGCACAGGCAAAGTATTTAAGTTTTTCGGGAAATCCTTCGAATGCTTAATCACTATGATTAAAATGCGCCAGGCGCTTGTAATTTTACGAGGCAGAGCTGAAATGAACAGTGAGAAGCCTGCATTATGAATAGTCGCTGTATGGTCTACGACTGTGGTCAAAACTTCATTCATATCCCCTTTCGTGGCTTAGAAGTTGTATCAATCTCGAGATAACGGCATTCTTTATATGTTTTATGCCCACAGCTTCCGTGTGATTCTTGATTTAAAGTACAGTCTACCAGATTTTACAATCGAGTTTCCTTTGCCCCGTGATTGACATTTTATCAGCAAAACATTGGGATTATACGATGCTCTTACATGCACTTTCACGAAGAGAAGGCTTCAATTAGAGTTTAGGAATAATTTATATTAGGTACTAGTGATCTGTTTCAATAAAATAGATCATCAAAAGCAGCAGACAGTCCTACGTAAGTACAGCCAGCATCTGCTTTGCGATGTTTTACTTTTAATTTTCTTGGTTTCTGCTCTGCAGTTACTGCGTACTTATGTTATTTGATATTTAGATAGGGTATTTATCTGTATTAGATCTATATCCGTTGTGTCTGTACACCACAAAGACAATAGATCCCTCTTTAAGTTTGAATATGCTTTACGGAAGTGCATTGGAGCGAAAAATCGGGGACTATTGTATACCACCTGCATCTGCTACAGGCCGCGAGAACAACTTTGATAAGGCCAAGAAGGGATATGCAGACGGGCAAGGAGTGAACTATGACTATCGCAGCGTCTTGCACTACTCTTCCGGAGCGTTCTCAAAGAATGGCCTACCCACCATAGAGCCCAAGGTATAGTGCTGATGAGGAACGGCTATACAGCGGACTCCCGGTTATCCGGGGGCAGATTAAGTCGTTTAAACGAAAATTAAAAGTTGGTTTTGAAACTCTGATTCAAATTTAAAGGGTTTGAAAAGAAAGAAATACATGGAACGATGACATTATTTGACGTATTAACGAAACTCATTTCTTGCTAGAAACCTGAAGTTAACGACTGTAGAACGTTGTTATGGTATGTACTGTATTGAATGTTATATAAAAGTTTCTCTGTTATTAGAAAGCTTTAACATTTAAGTAGTCTATGTCCTTAAATAAACTTACGTGTATGTTATATTTTCGGATTATCCGGAAAAATTATTTCCCAACCAACCCGGTTAATCGGGAGTCAGCTGTATTGTGAAGAGAATTGAAGAACAGCGCTTTGTTGCTTTCTGATGTTACAGAATGCGAAATTTACTAATTCAAATTCTTCCATAGCATTTCCTTTAGTTTTGAGGAATAATTAATTGGTTTTGTTTTATATTTGATTATTTCTTCATTACTTTACTACCACATTCATTCGTTCAGGCTGCGTAAGTAGTCGTAAAATAAAAGTGTGGTTCATTAGGAGAAGAATAAATTCTGGAAGTGCCTCTTATTACCAACTGTTATATACCTATCCGTTTTCCAAAATAGTAATGACAAAGAAGAACAAATAATTTGTAAGACTAGGGGGCACTGCTTGCTGCCTGTTACAGATCACTGGAGTTGAAATTGGCCAGAGGAAGGGATTCAGCCGTGGAGATGTGCAAAAGATTCGCCAAATGTATAAGTGTTCTCAGCGTCCACCTGGTGCTTGAGTACAGTGTTTTCAGTGTTTCTTTTTCAGCAGTTGATATCTACGCTCAGGACCCTAGACTAACTCTATACAAGGTCACTGGGATGTAATATAACAGCGTGTTATTTATTTTCCTGTCACCATATTCAGCAAGGAATATGTGACTTGTGTTTGTTTCAAACTGAACTGAAATTACTCGAAATGAAAACTGACAAATGTCTCCTGATTTCTGAACAATATAAATTGTTTTATAAAGATTGATACAACACATTTGGAGATTTTTTTACGATTCGATTTAATTGAGGACATAAAACATCTTTGAAAATTTCAGGAGGAAGTTGGAATGTTTATCTGTATTAACCGATTAAAATACATCGTTTTATTTCCTTATTTTACGAAAGGAATGCATTCCTTGAGAGTCATTCATTAAGCAGAAAATACATTAAACTGAAATTAATTTTTGATTATTTAAAGGAAGTACTGAGCGATACAGTGGCCTGAGTTGCTATGTGTATGGGTAGTGATGATGATAATTCAGTCAGATAAAATTTAATAATATAAATGTATGGATTAATTATCATTAAGAATGGAAATCTCAAATAAAAAATGCATTAGTAATATAAAGGAAAATAGGAGACATCAAAATTAACTGATCCTTGATGACAGGTTGTCAATAGTAGAATTTAACGGCTCTTATTAGACACATGGCGTGCTTTCATTGAAGAGAAATCGCTACATGTACCAAAAAGTGGCTATTGGTTTTTAATATGTATTAACTAAAAATTATTTAACCTATGTTAGTGTATTTCAAAACAATGAAATAGAATTCTGATGCCAGTTTTATTACCCAGCTGTCTTTCATAATTGCAGAGAAGCAAAACACGTGTTAATTAAAAATATCATAACATTTGTTTTGAATTTTTATAGAATGGCATTGTGAACATAGTTCAAACTAAATTAAAGTTCCTAGGTACACAACTCCTTCATGTTATCTGTTATCTGTTTGCTGTTTAATGATAAAATAATTATTTAAAGTGGCACGCATTGAGACAAATGTGAAGTAAGTATATACATTTTGGACATTTGGTAACGACAGTGTTATCAACTTCCAGCTTTTCCCTTATTTTGTACGTGATGTTCGTCATCAATTTCTTTATTTAATCGCTTATTTGGAATTAATTTATTGTATATTGAAATGTGTTATTTTAATATATAATTTTAATGACTATCATTGAGCATGCAAGTTTAATTTTATTTCATTGTCACATTTATTGTATTTATTTATGCAAGGAACAATGCACCAATCAGTCTGTCCTGTATAAGGCTGAATCATCCTCATTCTCAAACTGTAATATTAATAATAAGAACAATATACAATATATAATATTGGAAAGTTGTATTCTGTAATTCATTAAACATATAATTTAAAAGTATAAATGTGCAGAAAAGAGCATTTGCTTATAATACTCTACAAGTAATGACAAAAAACTTTATTGTAGAGTGAAGTATTTCTGTAGCTAGATTCTGAGAAGTGGACCAGGTGGTTTTCTGGGTTGTAATGTAATCTACACGGCTTCATAACCCTGAAATCTACTGTATGCATTTTTACTTCAGAGGAAAAACATCTCAAGTTCTAAGATGTTCCAGTTTATTTTTATATATTTTAGTAACAGGACTAAAAATTGAACCATTATGAACAGAGTTAGTGAATCTTGATTTGGTTCTTACCTCTTTGGTCTCCTCCCAGAAACATTCCGTAAATTTGAAGGCTCTCTCGCACCTGTCCAGTGAATCTGGGAACAATCAAATCAAATCAACTCACTCTGACATGAAGCTGTCAAGTATTTCTCAATCTGTGGTTAAAATATTACAGCACGGTGCCTTGAACCCCCGCTTAATCTGTGTAAATGAAGCTGTAGCATTGTAGTTGAATGAGGGTCTAGATAACTTGGAAGTACCTTTTTCTTTACCTGAAGATTAGAAATGCATGAAGGGTAGAGTCCACTGGTTGGTTATTGTGAACATAGTAAAGTAGAAGCCAGTGGAATTCTTTCACAAAAGTCTTACCAACAGCAGAGCACTTGAAGATGATCCAGTCAATTGCAAGCTCATCAAGTCGGGAAGCCTCCAGAGAGCTCTTCATATTGGCCAGAGAAAATTCTCCTTCTTCATCCATCTGGCAGCAATTGAAAACAAAGTGAAAAATGTGAACTACTGATACTATAGTCTGAAACAAGGTGTGTGCTAATGATAGAAGCATAATACCTATTGCATTCAATAGGTACTATGGCGACATATGCAATTTTAGACTATAGTCCTATATTCACTGTTGCGGACTTTAGTGAAGGTATATAGGCACAATCTGGTCTCCATTTATATGTATAACTAAAAAATTACTCAGCCTCCTATCAGTTTATTTGAATACTTTACTATTAATTTCTAACATTTTTATTAAATCTAAATCTCGTGCGGATTACACAATAAAATAAAATAAATATTTCAAGTCACGTCTTTGGTTCTTTGAGTCATGCTTGACAGCTACGATTACGTTCATTCTTATTGGCTGATAAACGTCTGCAGTTAGAATGCCATCGTTGATTGACCCAATTTTTTATTGTAATTGACGAATAGAAGCAGGATTTTATTAGCAGAGTTAAATGTTCACGTCGCTCACCCAATTGTACTTGTAATATAGACAATGAAGAAAACACTTGAAGCCGTCAACGTTCTCCACACCTGAGAGCTGCCTGTTTACCAGGATGGAGTTCATGGATTCTGAAAAGAGTTGCGAAGACATTTACACTGCAGGCGTCTTAACGGTGAATCGTAATATATTAAAACGGGGTTCCAAATGCAGCACTCACCAAGGCTTATCGGCGAAGTCAGATTACAGAATCGGATTACTGCCAGGTCGTTGTTCAGATCAGAAGAGGTCGGTGACTCGGACATAACAGCTCTCCCCTGCCAATAATAAGTTCGTGCTGCCCATTAGAATTAAAGTCTGCACTCAGGATAAAATGCAGGTACTGCACTGTTAAGTGTTGTTAAAATAATATTATTTTAATACCATGCTCCTTGATTTGTATCCCTAAACTCATTATGCAGCAACTTCTGTTCTGTATTTTAATATTTGAATTTAATGAAGTGTTACGCGATCTTCTTCAAGATATGCTGTGTTCCATAAATGTCTGGCTTTTGTATTTCAAAGCAGGGGTGTTTGCCAAGGATTCCATCCAGATAATTTTTAAATGATCATAATTAGCTTCCATTTGCATCAGTAATTATCAGTATCAACTTAGACGTTATATTATTATTGTGATTTTAAGGTCAGTCCCTTTGCTAGACGTGTTTCTGTCACCAATGTTATTTGCAAGGACAGATATTTAAACAATTATTACATTTCGCTTACGGACACTTTACATTATTTATAATTAAATCGTCTTTATTTACTTTTATTTGTCCATACTTTGTAAGTTTCATTTTCCATATTTTGACCGTTTCTTTTCGCATATCTCTCGCTCTCTTCAACGGTTTGCAGATTTTACTAGGTTCCTATTATTTTATATAATATGTCATTAATAATCTCCCTTATTTTATAAATAATCAGACTTATGGCATTATACAATTATCATGTAGGCCTGATGTTACCGTCTACACAACCCTTTTATTGTATTATACTTGCATTACACAGACACTATAGACCCTATTTTTGAAACGTTAATAGCCACAGATATCACCGAGTATTTAATCCCGTTCCCCCATTATACCACACCGGTCAATTTTTCATATACTCATCCCCTCTTTCCCCTTCACCCCACCTCCTGCCCGAGGACAATCACTCAATAAAAAACAACCACCGACTAGTTCGGTTTCGTCCAGACACGTGTACGAACGTGCCTTCAGTGCTGCAATGTCATCTTTGGACAACTCCAGTAAGATAAGAATATTATAAGACAAATTACGTCACATTCTCTAAGATAAAAATTAGTAATACAACTTAATATGGTATCTATTACAGAATGCCTCACGCTGTGCAAGACCTGCTACAGGCAATTCAAACACAAGACACGTTGAAGTATTCGTAACTCAAGATCATACCACAGCTTTGTTTGTAAGTGATAAGTATTAAATATTCTCATTAATAATACTTATAAATACAAACCACTCCCATAAACAGTACATTGTACTCATACCATCACATTATGTTTTACAGAAATACGTGAACGTCAGTGAACTAATCAGTACCTTGCCCGGTCGAACTTCAATATGCACCCCATTGCATGAGTTATAGTGGCACGTTTAACCATTTGAACAATTTTAATAATTTTAACTCTTGATTGATATGTTGTCATTGAATATTTCAATTCAGTACCCGAAGTTTCCAGCCTTAAACGTGATACCCAATTCAACCATGAATGCAGTGTTGAAATCTCGAACAAAATATATAATTTTTTACTGATTCGAAGTTGTCGACTCAGTACACGCCATTTCTTCTGCATTGCTACAGCTTTTAGGTTATGTTTTTACCCATAACAATTGTAGGTACTTTGGCACAGTAGTCGGGATGAAACTGTGCGTTCGACGTCCGTTAGAATTAAGAGGCAGGGTGACCAGTGGGGTGGGAGGGGTAGCAGATAAGGAGGCGTATACCATCCAAACTCTCAACATTATTTCCAATCGAGAACACTTTGAAGCACGCCATCTCAGGTAAGGTTTTTGGTTTGTACAGAACATGTGTTTGTTTTCCTTCTGCCAGCGAGCTAGTGTGATCCACACTACTGCACAGTATTATCGGAGTGCAAAACTAAGTATCCCTTAACAACAAGAATAAAGTACGTTAGCTTTTATGTTACTGGACATGGAATCATTCTTCTCTCTTATTCCATGCAATTTATGTTTATGGATAGGATATGCGGCTCTAATGTAGCATGTGAAGTCACTTCCCTAATTGTGAGTCCTGTTGAAGGTTTTGCTGTTGATATACCTGTTCAAAATTAATTGTAATTGTAGGCCTGTACTTACATTGACCAATCCAAGAGTAATGCAGCAAATAAAACACGCGACAAGAAGCGACATGTTGGAAGTTCCAACAAGAGAGAGACATCCATTGTAGAAGCCAAAACATTTATATATTTGAAGGCACAGGAAGAAAAATACAGTTTCACGAAAGATACCCAGAATTACTGGTGCCATTGACTCTATAAAGTAATCTAATTAAATATGATTAAAAAATAAAAGTTCACTTACCTTTCGTAATCAGAGTTGGCTATGTTTGTGTGACAAAGCGTAGGCCTGTTTATTATTATTAATTGGCCTATAGTTGTAGGCACAGAATTAGGTTATCAGCTGCTTCGTGAAAATTATGGGCTCTAGTCTCCTCGGGCGGAAAAGATAACAAGCCGGAACAGGCGGACAGGATCTCTGTTGTGTGAAAAAGTCGCGTTGGGTTGTTGAACCGCAACAAAGCAGATCATGTAAAAGTCCTGGGGAAGTCCATACAAATTACAAACGGGGAAAAAAAATTAAACACGTCTTTCAGCGTTTTGAAGCATGCAATTTAAAGTGGAGACCAGAACCTCGTAAAATTACATTTTTGTAGTATTGTAGGACCGCCTAGTTTTTAAACGTACAATAAAAACATTTTCAGTAAAACTGTTAACATCCTTTTTTGTTACGCTATAAAAGTGTGCTAATAAATGGTTCTTGAGACATGTAACAACTCTTTTCCAGCCGAACAAGTTATATAGAGGCTTCAAAATCATACTACTCTATACAAATTGTAGGATTTGAGGTTTTCACGGCGGAGTCTGAAGATGGCTGTCTTCTGGGTTATTTCGCCGTGTCGTCTGTTAGATGTCCACCAACGTTTCAGAGGTCCTTGCTGCCTCCATCATCAGTCAGGGCCCTGATGATGGAGGCAGCAAGGACCTCTGAAACGTTGGTGGACATCTAACAGACGACACGGCGAAATAACCCAGAAGACAGCCATCTTCAGACTCCGCCGTGAAAACCTCAAATCCTACAATTTGTATAGAGTAGTATGATTTTGAAGGATGACTTCAAAAGAATTAAAGATAGCGCTCGTGGCCTATTTTAAGGTGCTAGCTAGTCATTTGTGTCGAAGAGCCTATAAAATCACCAAGAATTACATTTGTTAGGATGTTGTGATTCCGGACTAAGATTTGGAACCAGCAACTTTCGAATGCGAGGGATACATTCTAATGATTAGACAGCGATGTTTATTGTGAAATAAAATTAGGTAATTAATAAATCCGTTAACTTTTTAAAACTAGTAACAGATGTATTCCATTTACTTGGTTTATTTGAAAGGCTGTTACATTTTATATGCATAAGCATTTCCACTGACGTATAAGGACTCGGTGTATAAGGACATGAAGATATGATGGAAGGAATACGTAGTGCGGAACTTAATAATTTGTACTCTCCATCTGATGCAGCGAGGGTTAGTAAATCAGGGAGGATATATCACACGTGAGAGGGCAAGAAATGCGAACAAAATGTTGGCAGCGCAATTGCAAGGGATGAGAAGACTTGGGCGCAGATGACAGGATAATTTTAGAATTTATCTCAGATAAATTTGTCGCAATCTCGCTCAGAAGTTCCGCGGGGTGCTGTGAACGCTATAATTAACCTTAGGTTTTTAAAATTAATTGTTTTATCTCCATTGGATTAGTCACTGATACAGAGACAGATAAATTGTCCATAACAATGGAAGGCCTTTTGAATCCCTTGAAGACTTGAACAAAACACCAACGTTGAGACAAAATAATGGAATACGGTTTTAACACATATTTTATAGGCTTACAGATAATGCAACTTTATTTTAAGATTATAATTCAGAACAGTGTTGTAATAACAGAATAGTACCAAGTGAATTACACATTGAAGATATTTAATTTAAAAATGGTGAAATAATTTCATATGTCAGATTGTGCAGAAATGAAGTGCTCGACCACCGGGACAACAGCTATTTCCTCTTTGCTGATCTCAGTTCCTGTTAATAATAAACTATTTTAACAACTGGAACAATATAGTAACGAGTTTCAAACACATATACAATATTTATTTGTAAAGTTTCTTATGTATATAGAACATTAATATTAATTCCTGATTAACTTAAATTGTCTCTTGCGACTACAGCAACCTGAGTGACACAAATTTCTTCCAGACTTTAAATGGGCATCATAATCGATGTTTTCTTACAAAATATACTATTTTGTAATTAAACAAACAAGAGTTATGCAAATTTGTATTAATTTACATTTTATCGGTTTAAAAATTATTTTGTTTGCCGGAACGTTGGAAAAGTATAGAATTTTACGCGACTCATCACTGAAAGCCAAACTTATACATCGAAATCAAATCGCGAAAGCCTGCGCTTTGTGCGCTTGGAAAATATCTTGACTATAATGTTCAATATTGTTGTGGATATTAATACAGACTACCGCCCCCCACCCCCAGGCCATGAGTGTATCGCCTGAATGGCGTGGTAATATTTGCACTTGAGAAGAAGCAGCCCGCCCTGTGTCAAGTCAGCCCGACAAAGCGGACGAAACCACCTCCCGGATTTGGTTGAGGATGTTCAGAACTGAGAGCACAGTGTGGCCCATGTCACGCAGGAAGCTGGTAATCGCGTCTCGGATAGAGCCGTCGCCATCATCTTCCGCTTCCTCCAGCCTCCCGAACATCTTCGGCTGTGGAGCATCAGTATCCCCCTTCATCTCTCTTACCACTCAACTTGCTGGGGTCACCGTATTTCAATATCTCCTGGCAAACAATTCATCCCGAAGCATCTCACAACACCACACCCCACTGACATCATCAGTACATTCATTAACTTCACAGAGCGTTCCAAAGAAATAATAATTCTAGGAGCTTAAAATTATTATCGTCTTATTAGCTTATTTCAGACTGATGAATTCATCCAACGCAGTTAAGGCAAAATACTTTCGTGAGCACAAACAATTGTGGGTACTTTTTCGTACAGGCTTACAGTTGTAATTAATATACAAACAATTTGTTATATTCCATTAATCTTGAGGGCAGTACAGTCTACTGTACATACGGACCGACGAACTGACACTCCAAAGACAACAAATACTTGTTTACATTTTATTCCAGAAGAAGCTCAAACAGATTAAGTGCTCGTGAATTCTAGTAGCGATTTTGGACTATAATCTCATAAGCATGTTATCTCGGGAAACGCATTCCTACGCTATTATCGAAGCTTAATATTTACCAATAATTAAAACATGATTTAATATGACGTATTAGAATTATATGTCAGCATAGCAAATGTTGACCTTTTTATCTGTCGTTAACAAGAACATGCAGGAAAAGAGACAAAGACAACCTCACCTCTGTCATGAGGCACTTGGAGAAACGGTAAGCTCTCTCACACTGGCAAGTGACGTCAGCTGCAAAGAAATGCGAAATATGGTCGCCGTGAGTAAAACACTGCCCAGACAAAATAACTGATAATATACAAGGATGACATTTATAACTACACTGTGCCGTAACTCAGGCGGCCAGTCGGTGGGTATATCGGCTATGCTGTCGGAAGTTTCCCTCGGTTCTCTTTGCTTTTTTCAATGATTTAACGTTTAATGAATGTCCTAACTAAGAACTTTTATCAAAGTAACACAAATCAGTACTCACCATCCGCAGCTATACAATTGTCCACGAACATTTCCAGATCGGCGGTTTTGACGGCTACTGGACCCTGACGCTTTCCGAACGCCTCCTTCAACTTAGCGGCGACCAACTTTCCATCAGAATCCATCTACAGGAGAACACAGTGACGTTTAGTAACTTCTTTATACAACTGCTTGTAAGTATTTAAGAAATATCTGGTTCAGCTAAGTTGGTTCTTTTTTTAAGGAAAATGGGTGTAGACATGAAGACTTTTAATAGCCACTTACCACTCCGGTTTCCATAAACACACAGCGGATGAAACACTGGAAAGAAAATAAAATACCATGAATGAGTTATTGAATCACACTAAATTAAACCGATCATTTAAGGCTCTGGGTTGTTTAGACACCAAACTCAGAGTTTCATCTAAATAACAGGCCGTTTCAGCTGGAGCAAATTTGCAACCGTTGGTTTAGCACATCAGTTTAGAATCTGTCATAAACCGACGTGATGTATTAGGGCATTATGCAGAGGAAGATAGTGCTTATAGGCTCTTAGGTTTCTTCTCTAAGAGCCTATATATTAAGCTAATGTTCTTACCTTGGCTGATCTAACGTTCTCATCGGGGAAACTGCCAGTCATGTTGAGCTGATCCAGATACTCTATAGAGGAAACAAAATTCACAAAAATTAAGTTTATTTTATGTATAGTTTATATAACAACTCTGTCTGTCTCGGACTATATAGTGACAAATGGTAGGATGACTTATCAAAAATTAAGCTGCCGTGGACTATTTATAAGGTAGTATACTTGTAATTACTTGGGGGGCTGGGGGGCTGGGGGACTGAGGAAAGCAACGAAAACTTAGTCAGGAAAGCCGGTCTCCGGGCCGAGATTTGGAAGTGGGGCCCTCCAAATACGAAGGAGTGGTAACCAACAGAGCACAACGTTTGGCACAAAATAAATAATGCCGTTACAGTTAGAGAAGCTAACTGTGTCGAAGATAATTTATAGTAGTGTATTTTGGAATTATCGCAAATATTAAATTTAATATTTATCGTCATCTTTTATGGTTTAGTCTATCCTGTCCCGATTCAGAATTGATGTAACAATTTGTAAGGAAAATCTATATTTTTTTCCTTTATGGTGAGAAACCAAGTTTCACACGCATACAAAACAACAACAACAACAACAACACACACACACGTTTTTAAAGAGGAGAATATAAGACGTCTGAACGAAATTGAAGCAAGCACTCCTCCGGTTTAAATCAAATACTTCTTGCTGTTATTTGCATTACATTTATTTAACTGAACGTAACACCGTCTTCGTACTTAGCACGATACAAATAGCGCTCTTTTGTTTGAACCACTTGTTAGCTATTCTTTTGCGAGAGAAGGCTATTCTAACTCACCAGCGTCGATAGGATTGCTCTCGTTGCACTTCTTCATAATCTCTTTTACGTCCACCTCGGCCTCAGAGGCTGGTACCTGTAAAGAAAGATCTTCCCGTGTCAAGTTCAGATGTCGCATTTCCATCCGGCGAATTCGAATGGATCCCGACCACAGTAGCGTCCACTAACATTTATCGTATGAGATGCTTTTTGAAAAGTGTTAATGAACTTTAAGATGGCTGTCTTCTGGGATGTTGTGCCGTGCAGTCTGGTAGATATTAACCGACGTTTCAGAGATGCTATTGCCTCCATCATACGGGCGACTAGGGACGAGAATTTCTACCAAACTACGCGGCTCAACATCCCAGAAAATATATTCATACTCGCTGTAAAGAGAACCAAAAATATTATCAAGTAATAAACATGTTAAGCTGACAGCTAGTAAATCGATGGTTAGAAACAACGAAAAAACTGAACTTCTATTCGTAAAGAGAAATATATAGGTCTGTGTGATAGTATCTGACACTAAATATAGTAGGAGGGGTTATTGGCAAAGAAGTTGGTAAAAATAAATTCATGCATGAAGTTTGAAGGCATTTTATAATTAGTTTCAATGATATGAATACGATAATCTAAAAATAATTCTTAAACAAGAAAGTTTTCACTGTTGAAACTGGTATGAAATTATCCAGATTCTATGCGTTAGTACTCACAGCATTCACCAGGACCAACAGCTGAGAGGACGCTAAGATGACCAAGAAGCTGAACATCGCCATTTTGAAATACAAATGTCACTGAGTTGACAACAAGCTTCTTGTTTTATATGACAAGCCTGACCTTACATGCATCGATTGTTTAAATGTTTTCGGATGTAATTTTTGTCTATTCTTATTGAACTATTGCTCTATTTTATTTCATTAGTTGTAATATTGTTGTCATTACAGTCTGAATGCCCCCATTTATTCATTTCCTGTAAAACAGATTCTTTCATGAGGGGCTTACAAGCGTTACCGAAAACTTATATAACACATTAATTCCTATTTTATGTAACAGAAAACATGGGAATCGTTAAACAGCTAGACGTTCCCAGGAACGTAGTTTTAAACACAATGAATTCCATTTCTCTAATGTTCCTCCTTGGGGCGAAGAATAATAATACGTTTAAATGTAAATTGTAAAGCGCCATTTAAATTAACATGGGTAAAGGATGTCGATACATACACCTACTAGTTTTATGATGTATAATTAATTCTGTTCGGTGCAGTCGCTACTGCTCGTCAGTTACGCAAGTCGTTCTGAACCTACTGTGTCTGACGGACCGCAGAGACAATTATTTACTATAATTATAGCCTTGGAAATACTAAAGTGAGGTCGCGTAGTGGTCATGATAAAACATAATTTTATAATTGGGCTCTAGCGTTTGGTCAGCTATAGTTAAGTGTACTGTTTTGATTATTTTGTTTTTCATAAAAATGAAACATATTTTAGACGAGAGATGTAGAATTTATTAAGACAGTTTTACGGTGTTTACATTTTTTAATTAAAAGGAGCATTTATACATGTTACCTGCATGGCAAATCACGAAAATAAGATAAAATGGCGACGGTGGATCCAAAGATTTGCGGAATTCCATTGTTTAACCTGTTCATGACTTTACTCGACAATATTAACACCAACTGGATGCATAGTGGGGATGTCGTGCCTTTATGAGACTAACTGGACTGACGTCGAAGACATTTTTATAGGGGGTCTAAAGCACATTTCATGAAAATTTAAGATAAACACTTCGAACGAAAGACTAAGTGATTCACTTGACACGAATAAATTTTAAGTCTGTATATGGGAACATTCACAGCGAACGTATGTATTTGGAAAAATACTAAAACTTAAACTAAAATACTAAACTTCAGTTTTAAATCCATTTCCTATTGGCAAACACCATGACTTGCCTGAAAGAGAAGCACTTGTTTTATTACGACAGACACGTGAAACTTGCCTTGCAGTTTTTGTAATTCTAATGCATTTTACAAACAGTGACCTCATTGGCACGCCAGACGCGAATTCATTGCAAGTTACAACAACTTTCCTGACAGAAGGCAACTAAACTTCTAGATTAATTTTAATAAGGTTTGTTGTACAAACTGGAACCGTATTTGAAGTCTGGTTTCAGTAAAAAACAGTCGCATGTCGCTAAAAACAAACGTCGTTGTATTTTCCAATTTAGTATTAAAAAGCATTGGAATCCGTGGGAATGGAACAAAATGGAGAATGTTTGTATCTCAATTCTACAGTAAGATGACGTCATAATGAGACTACACTACAAGTACAACAAAACAACCTATTTATAATTTATAATACATCTTAACATAATATGGTAGATATTGATTGACGTTTCAGAGGTTCTTACTGCCTCTATTATCAGGGTAATTACGATAGTCCTGTTGATGGATACAGGAGACAGTCTACTACCAGAAGGCAGCCATTTTCATACTCGTCGTCAGAACCTGACATCTCACAATATAATACTAATATTTGCATATTCCTCGTTTTCTACATCTGTGAAATTTGTTCGTTTCCTCTGAGTGAAATAACTGAACAAAATGAGAGAAAAACATTTACATTTATGAGATTAAGACGACAGCAGATTTTCCCATTAATATGTTATTGTTTTTATAATAAATTCATTAATAACGCTTTTTTCAACTCTATGTGAATGATGAATTGAAACTGAAGTGTAAATAAGCTGTCCTGGAAGAAATGAGGAAAACCACAGAAGTTCCCTTGATGAACCCTGTAGGTCTAAACACCAAGGAGCGGCTTTAAACACACTTTGATGTTCCGTCGTCTGTCAATGGACCTGCCCTCAGCTAAAGGAATTCGAACACTGAACAGTTTCGCTATAGGTCTTGAAGCTTTATTAGGTGAATCAAGTTTTTGTCTTCTGCTTTGTGTGCGGTAATGTTAAACTTTAGTGCCTTAATGCATACAGATGGTAGTACTGTTGCATTATGCAAGTTCACTAATTTCCTAGAGAGCAGTAAAACATTTCTGCCGGCTGTGTTGAAAGTCATATTCATCAAAGTGTCAAAATAATTGCTTCTTACTCACGACACTGCAGGGCAAGCAAGTGCCTGGATGCTAATGAAGATCTGTTACAATAAAAGGCGAATAGCAGTTTTCAGTAAATTGGCTTTAATTGCGTAACCTACTAATAGAGAATTCTGAGTACTGGAATTGGTCTGCCACCTAAGAAAGATTTTTGGGATTGTTATAAAAACACAGAAAGGTTAATTCCCATTTATATTAAATAGGCAGTCAACAATATTGTAATGAGTTTAATTGTTACGTATTTATTCCACATTTACATTATCGTTGTTCCTTCAAAAGGTGATAAAATATTGCAGATCAGATGCCAGTTATAAGACCTTTCAGCACGTGTAGTGAAACTCTACTTCACATCAATCTGTTGTTTATTCGAATTTCCAGACTCCACAAGGCATGAATATTTATGCTTGCAAACTCTTCACTCTTCTGCTTCCATGTCCCCTGTGAAGGCTGAATAACGGGCTTCACACTGTTGGGAAACTGCTAGATAACATTTTGACATCTCTCGACAGTTTTCTTCTGGTGCCCCCTGTTAAAAGCAATAAGTGAACATGACTGTCAACCCAGAATAAAATATTTTGCCATCTACTACATGATCACTTTACGTGTCCCATTACATGACACAAACGAGATATTTTATCCAGAAATACCTATCTTCAGCTTTTGAGGCGCTAATACAGAGTGACTAAAAAATCACGCAATACATTAATGATATGTTTTATTTATCAAAAAATAAATTACATTGAAATCAGAAAACAGAAAAGAAACAATGTTATCTTAAGTGTCGGAAATTTTCTCATGTTTAATGATAAGCCGGTGAAGAGTTTGTGTGTCAACAGAAACGGTTCACCAGACGAGATATTATCGCCTTGTTTGACACAGGTTGTATCCCTAAACTCATTGTAACGCGTTAAGTAAGAACGAGATACCAGGCAATGCTCGACAATGAACACTGTTACGCTTGTGAAAAAGACAACATCGTGATTCGACTGTTGAAGGACAACGGACGGACCGTCGCGAGCAGGTTACAACATGACGTAACCTGCGTGGGCTCTTGTGTCGGCAAAACGATATGTGTGACTATTGTATTGAATTACAACCATAAATAAACATTATGATATCGGTTGCGTAACTTTTTGACTATCCTGTACAAATTAGGAACACAAACACTGAGGTAATTAGAAGTATGGAAAAGATGTTCACAGGGCGCTGTTTTGTTAACAGGGAATGGGGTGACCGAATTATCGGGCGTGAATGTAGTTCAATAGCAATATAATAGACTGAGGCGATAGAAAAGAGAGGTCCGATGTAACGAAAGTGAACTGATCAATTGGAGAAATGGGCTCTCTTGATGACTACTTGTTTCAGCTGCCACATACCCTGACTATCATGCAAGAACTTTTACCTTGCGGCGAAATTCTGAACGTCATGTTGATGTGAAAAATTTTACCAGAACGCCTAGATAAAGCTAGATAATTACACAAACAGATATAAATTCAATAATATTATTCCAGCAGTATCATTGAAGACGGTTCAAAATTCAAATTATTTTTAAATAACTTCATTTTTATGTGATATTCGTATGCCACTTACGAAACAATAACAACAATAATAATTTTGCAATAATGTTGATGACTGAACAATGTTGAAATCGCATATTGCAGAAGATGTGTAGATCATTATTGGCGAGTCTAAAACGTTTTGCACGCCCAACATTGCTTGTACCTCACGAAGCGCATGATTCCGCGTGACCAGTTTGTCCCAATGACGCACCGGGACTCGAACCACGGATATGAATCTCACGGATTGCGCATGTTGGAATGTGCAACGTCAGGATGTAAGGTGAACAGGAATCTTGTTCGGTGGTCAAACGTCTTTACTCGTCTTGCAAGGTTTACAGAGGTGTTGATACCACTGAGGCCAGAGTTTCGATTCTCGGCCTTTCATATTTGTCATTTCCCTGTTCAACCGCAGGAAGTAATAATTATTTACTTTTTCAAGAAACGGACTTTCTTGAACGCTTAATTTGTATGTAAAGTTTAATAACTTTTTTAAGCGGACTATACTACCTCCCCACAAGTGACCCGTCATATTACATACATGTGTTTCAAGTTTTCACTTTCCGATTCCACGTGTTTGCTAATAAAGCAGCAAAGTGGTGCAGAGATAACGGAAATGATTCCACCCAACAAGTTATTAAGGCAAGAGTGACGTAAGCTTTAGTAGCTGGAATTGAGCCCCGTCGTCTGGCATTTTGCAAAGTGGTAATTAGACTACAAAGTGCTGCACAAAATGGTATATTGAATCAGTTGCTTGTCATTAAAAACTCCTTATACTAATTTTAATACTCGGATTATAGTTCAATATTTTCTTATCTGATTGATTGATTGATTGATTAATGAAGGTCACTGCCTTCTGGGCTTTTGCACCGTGTAGTCTGGTACAAGTTTATCGACGTTTCAGAGATGCTTACTGCAGTAATCTTCAGGGCGATCGCCCTGATTGAAGACAGTCATCTTCAACGTAAAGACTTCATTATTTATATATTTATAACACAATATATAGGTCTACAACTTACATCTGCAAGATTATAGACAGTGTGTACTATTTATTAGTTTTGATATCTGTGATTGTGATTGATGAATTGGAAATAATGTTGAAGGTAGCCAGTATGTTCTTGAGACTGAAAAATCCATTATAATTTTGAATCACAAATGTGCTAAAAAATGAACCAAACATCGTGTTTATAAACAAGAAAGAACAGATGAGAATCATTTACTGGGGTTCACAGAAAAATAGAAAAAAATTGTGGTCAGAGCGACAGGTAAATTGTAGTGTTGTCAGGGACAAAATTATATATATAAAAAATGAAAGCTTACGAAGAATGTAGCACGGCTTTTATAATTATTGAAGAAGAGTAATTGAAAGAAAAAGAATTGCCTATCCTAAGTGGACCTAAAAGTCGCTGATATAAGCTGCATGAAGTTTTCCTGTTTTTCTTTTCTTCAAATGCCGGCAAATCCCTTGGTTTACGCAAGGAATGTGAAACTATTCTGTATGTAGTCACGACAATGATTGTACCTTTATTATGTATCAGTTACAGCTCGATTTTCTCATTGTGATAGATCGGGCTTTATTCTGTTACGAAATTAGGTAGAATCATACAACAGAAGAGAGTTAAGCTTGATTGGAAATAAAATATGTCCGCAGAAAAGAATGTTTTCCGAGATATGAAGAAATTTCAATTTATCTTAATTAGTCATGCTTATATTTACATTGCAACTAATGACTGAATGACTGGCCAAATGTGACTGTGTAGCAATTTGTACCTTCTAAGTAAGGTCCTGGATTCGATTTCCAAACTAGGTTTTCTTGACAGCGGTTTATTGCTGTTTTATTTTGTTTCCCCACCCGAATAGCAGAACTGACACCTCGACAAGTTCTACTCTACCATTCCCTATCAATGCACTAATCGTGTAAATACTGAAAATTTGTTGAAAAATAGTAGTTAAATCCCATGTTTTTTGGGAAATGTTAAACGGGATGAAGCATAATGGATTATCGTTTACTGTTATTCCATTAAAATCTTTATTATTAGAAAGCTGCATCAACAGCCAGATGGCCAATTACAGATACAGCACAAGGAAAATAAAGTGAATACAATTAAAATATAATAATAATAATAATAATGATAATGATGATGATGATGAAGTTCCTAGCAAACAGACAGGTTAATAATTATAACAAAGCAGAAAGAAATTGATTATTGACAGATGTAGCAACCCCATCTACTTTAGGATATGCCTAAGCGTAACCAAACGATCACTAAAGATATAAAATAATAATAATTTTTATATATATTTTTAATGAGGGAAACAAATAAGTAAAGGATTTTGGTTGAGAAACGTATTGAAAGCAGTTACCTGGAAAATCTAGAAGGCAATGCTAAAATTAATCTGACTGAAGATAGTTACGTGTGTTCTTAACTGGATCTGCTATGATTAGCGGCACTGAATATTTTGATTATATTAAAAAACAATATAGTGTTATTTATGGTTTGAGGTTCTCAAGGCGTCGAGTATGAAGATGCCTATCTCTGTGTTGTAGCACCTAGCAATATGGTAGAAGTTTTCCGACGTTTATCGCCCTGAAGAAGGAAGTAGCAAGCACGTCTAAAACTTTGGAGGACTAGTGCAAGACTTCATGGTGCTACAACTCAGAAAATAGCCATCTCCATACTTGCCACCGTGAGAACCTGACATTTCACTAATCCGTTACGTGTTGTACAAATTACCTGTAGTTTGACTTGAGCACAATACAGAGTGAGATTTGATATGCTTTTTGGAATTAATTTAGGATGTTTTATGTGGATTATGCAGAGTCTACTGAATTTCAGACGTCAGTTGTATCCGGCAGTAACTCAAAAATCGTGACACAATCGAACGGCTCTTGTACATGTGTAGACACATAAACAAAAACATTTTCGAACGATGCCATCTATTTTTGACGAGCAACATTTCTTTAGCCTTCCAGTCATATAGCCTATTCACTGCCTCATCTTTGATTTAAGAATGTTCCTTGACTGTGTTATCTTTGGATAAAATCGATTCACGCTACCGACCAGATCTCGAACGCAAGTAGTTAGTTTCCGGTTGGAGGGTGAAGTGCGCGGGCGTGTTAGTGGCGTGCCTTTAAGAAAGAAAATGTGTTGCGTGTGTATAAAGTACTTTGGGCAATGATTTGCTATTTAATGTACTTTGTTTATTAATCGTGTTGATACGAAGTTCTAATGTTTTGTGTTTATGTGCTGTTATTAAATGTGACTATTGATGAGATTGTTGGTGAAGTCGCAAGTATCCTTGAACTTCGCTGGAAATGGAAAGGTAGGACGGAAATAAGGGACTACAAGTAATTATATTATGTTGTTGAATAACAGGTAAATTCCATGCCTGACACATGGAAGCTTGGGTGCTATACCGAAGCGCCCATATGTATGTATAAAGCTGTGTTTGCTTAACACTGGGTTCTTTCTTCTTACGGATTTTATGCACTAGCCCAGTGCATTGTAATTTATATTTACGTCTGTGATTATCTTCTCTCTTACCATGTTTTATATCTAAATTGATCAGGTAGCCCCTAGGCCAATATTTCTAAATCGGTAGCCTTGGTACAATGCAATAATCTTCCGATTATCACTTTGCACCCTTCTTGCAAACTCCACATCTTTATGCCATACATGTGTGCGGCTTCATATACCGTCTCATATACGCTTTGTATACAGCCGTACGCGAGGCCTGAAGCAAAGTGACCCCTTCCACTCTTGATCATGTCATCATATGCTATCAGCTCTGCTATTGGTCTACGTGGTAGGTAAGAAGACACAGTATTGCATTTCATTCTGTCACGCGTTGCTAACCGAGTCGCTTGCTAACGCTCCCCACTCTTAACTACTGTTTGCTCTGGGAGTTGCACTAGTAAGGATGAGCGTGTTGTAACGATGGGTAGACGGAGTCATGCATTCTACAGCCTTCCCACTCAGCAAATTTTATGTTATATCAAGAGGGCAGATAGAAACTCTGAATTATGCAGTGTAAGGTTAAATTCTAAAAATAAATTAAGACGCCTATTTTCCTTTAAAACCTTCATGCATGCATAGAGGCCAGCAGAAGATCTATTTAATAATTACGTATGTAATTAAGTGATATAATTATGCTCATAATGCAAACTGCTGTAGTATATTCGAAAAATGTATTCACGTTACTGTGTCTGTTGACTTATAATTCCACAAAGCAGTCCTTCACGAGAAGTTGATAGTCGCGTAACTACTTAAGAAATTTCTCAGATTTTATGGTATCTCAAGGTTTATCACCATGTTTATAAGAGCCCACCGCCACCATCATCATCCGTGGCTCTTCAACCCAGTGTGAGTCTTGACAAGACCCCACCACTGGACCGTATTCTATGTCACATGAGACCGCCCCTCATTCTTACACACCCTCCCGTTTATTTAAGATTAACTTTAAGCAGTCTCTTAATCCAGGTATTGCAGTTGAAACTGTGTATGCGGGTGGTCTCTCCCATGCGTGCTACATGCATCACCCAACTCTCGATTTTATGATTCTTATATTGATGGATGGTGCAGTACCTAAATTTTATTAGAACTATTTTTGTAATTTCGGAAGAATTTAAAATTTTGAAGAAGAAATATTTTCAAGGTTAGTTGGTCGCTTGTAATGAAACCGATACTGTAGAGCGATTAGCTGTGGCAGTTTGCAGCAAGAGGGACATATGAAACTTTCGTTACCAGGCACTGCAGGCCCTAAATGACAAAATTCAATTTTGTTGTAGGCGTGTAAGATATCTGAAGTAGATAGAGATTAAACAGTTATGGAGTGTTGTAAACAGGCAAGGATTTGGAAGAAAGCGACCATGGTCTATTTTTTATGACTGGACAAATAAATATAATTTAAATTACTCTTGTCTTCTATCAAGAAGTATCCGAATCCCTTAAATTTACAGGTGTCAAGTTAATGGTATGATACACGAATAGAGAACAATTGCTACAGAATAAATTCAGAATCTTTTTTTAGACCTCTGTTTTGATTTGCCTAAGTTTCAGTTTTGAAAGTCTTCGAAACTCTTAGCCAAATTTCCTTGCAGTGCATCCAACTTGGATGATTGACATAAGCACGGCGCCAGTTTGTAGACTCTACAGGTCACATGACAAAAATCCATGACTGAAGACTAAATTAATTGGAATGTCATGGAGAACTGACGAGACTTGGGACGTTATTGCAGTAACTGGCGAGTATAAGGTGCCTGATAAGCACGACTTTCACTAGAAAGTATAAGGCCAACAACCACCTTCAGGCGACAAGTGTTTTACGTCTTGTTCATGGAGGCGGGGATCGAACCCGTGTAATTTTGATTAACGTTTGTCGACTTAGGCAATCACCCGACACTTCCTTACCGTGCCATCTCCGTGTCGTACTATTACAATTTATAGCGAAGCGCAATTGTCTGGCTACGTTCCCATGTTTCTTACGAGTGATGCAAACGAAGCAACAGGACAGGCTTGTAAAATGTTGGGTGTAGGGACGATAATCTAAGGGCAATAAACACGTTCATAAATGCCCCCAAATGTGGGTTGTTGTTACAACGCTATTTCAACAGCAAGGATTATTTATGATCAAATGGAAAGAGAGGATTTAATTAATGTGAACTTGAAAGAACGGGTATTTTGCATGTGGGGAGTAAGAACTTCAATAAACTTATTACGAGAGTTCAGCACTGGTCCGTACCCTGAGCCAGATGAATCCAGTCCGCACTTTCATGCAAACCAGTTTAAGAGGAATGAGTGACTTGTAAAAAAAATGGCCTGCTATATGTAACAGTTACACTGTTACATAAACCCGTCTCTGCTTACGAGACGATTAACTTGGTCAGCCGCGGGCGAACTATTGTAACTGGTTGCAATCACGACGACATATATAACATTGTGCTAAAGTAACATAAAAAGCAATCGAGGAAATGCATTTTAAAAGGCTGGCTGTTAACAGTATTAGTTTCTTTAAAACAAACTTCCTGTTTCGCTGTGTGGTGAATTAAGATACATTCTGTTAACGTATCTTTGGAATGGTTGCTTTACAGTCCACCTTTATATTGCGTTATATAAAATGTAAGTTTTGAATATTTTAAATTTTATTAAGACAGCTTACAACATTCACATTCCAGGCAATAAAAATAGGAGATATAATATAATTTCCTGTATTAGAGAAAGTTGTTTTAAGATGAAATTTGTTCATACATTCAATATCAAAATGTGAAAAACTTCAGCATTTTTGAGGTAGTCTTGTTTATCATTGAAAAGAATGTAACAATTAAGTACTTTTAGGCGTGACAAAAACACAAAGAATTACGAACTTCTACTTGGTTGAACTTGCTTGTCTGTCTGAGAGTTACTAATATATTAAGAAATGACATTTTTTACGAGTGATTTAATTATGAAGTGTAGGAAAGCGAGCGTAAACTGTCATTAAGCTTCTCAGCACTTCATATGGCAAGAGTCACAGTTTCCCGGTTTCGGCTTGGACGATAAAGGGGCAACTTACTGGGCAAAACAGAGGGACCATTCTGTGCACAATTCAGTGACACCGGCACGAGTCACGGAAGTACCCCGTAAAAACAGCGGCACTGCTTGTTTTCGACAAGAATTGTTCGATACTCAAGTCACCGTATTTTTATGACTTTGAAGTCCAGGAAATTCTTGTTTAATTTAATGGAACTTACCACGGCTTTACTCCAGGTATTCACACCTGTCTCTAGTCTGGCATCTAGGAGCAGACCGATTCAACAATAAACATCGCGCAATGCGAACATTATAATAACATTAAGAGAGCACTACACATTATTTCTTATACCAGATATCCCAGACTCTTCGTCCAAACCATGTACTCTTGATCATATCGGCACCTTTTTCTGCAATCATAATACTTGGAGCATTTGTATTGCCGGACGTAACTCTAGGCATTACAGATGCATCGATAACTCGAAGTCTTTCGATACCATAAACTCTAAGTTCAGGGTCAACAACTGCTTCGTCGTCTCCAGGAGGTCCCATGCGACACGTACCCGCTTGATGATTCTCGGGGCCTGTTTGCCTGCGAACTGCACATTCCCAGTAAGCGTCACAGCCGAATGTGAAGTTTTCGCAGCCCGGAACTGGCGTCTCGTCGAGCTTGAACCCATATCGCTGCAAACTCGGTGTCTGGGACATGGCTATTGCGATCTTGATGCCATCGACCAGGGTGGAAACGTCGTCAGGGTGAGACAGGTACCTTGGAACTATCTTTGGTGGGGCCAGAGGATCCGCGCTCCTCAGAGTGATGAATCCCCGACTCTTCGGATGAAGCACCGCAGGAATTATATTGATAGTTCTCTTGGAATTAGTGTTGTTGGGATGAGCCCTTTCGCCAACCTGACCAGTTCTAGCGCAGTTGGCAAGGAAACCACCGAAAAAGTACTGAAGATCAGGATTATCGTCATCGGGATTGTTATATTTGGAATTGAGAATAGCAGTGACTTCTGATATCCCTGTTCCTGACATCAAACCGTCTCGGAACAGAAGATATTCCATAGCTGTCGCCCAGTTCAGTGCTTGTGTGTCGGTATCGTTGATGTGGAAATTCACAAAGAATGCAACATGGTTGTGCAGATTCCGTCCTACACCTGGAAGATCTAGGATGACAGGGATGCCAGCCGATTTAAGGTCTTCTTTAGGCCCTATTCCAGACAGCATAAGAATCTGAGGGGAGTTAACAGTACCTCCTGATATTATTATCTCATTTCTGGCAAGGACGACTTCCTTCATTCCAGACTGCCCCCCTCTGATTATCACCACTCCGTAGGCCTCTTTAGTGGTATCGTTAACGAGTACTTTTGCCACAGTCGTGTTGAGCATGATGTGGAGGTTGGACCGATGTTTGACTGGTCTGAGGAACGCCTTGGCAGCGCTGAGGCGGGAGCCGTTCCTGCTAGTGGTCTGGGCAATGGCGAACCCTGTGTGTGACAAGCCATTCAGGTCACGAACCTGGTAGCCCATCTCGCGGCCTGCTTGCAGAATGGCGTGAGACAGAGGTGGGTGGTAAGGGAACTGCGTTACTGTGAGGTACCCGCCCACACCGTGGTAACCCTGATCCATAAGGTGAGCCTGCTCGTTATCTTCGGACTTCAAGAAGTAGGGCAGGACGTCTTGGTAGGACCAGCCTGCGTTGCCACGCTCAGCCCAATCGTCGTAGTCTCGACTGCTGCCACGCATGTACATCATGCCGTTCATGACGCTCGTTCCGCCGAGGACCTGGAACAGGCACAGAGACTGCTACATCCCTATATTTCACTTCGCTTGGAAGACACTTCATCATTCAGTGTAACAGGTGACACACCAGATAAGCATAAACAGAGTCATAACAAACTTTGACTACAAGGTATAAATCGATGGACAGTGTTTCAAAATGTATCTGGAAACGACATTAACAAATAGAAGTGAGATATCAGTAAGCCCCTCTGCAACGCCGGACAGTATCTACCAGACTATATATGGCGCTGTCAGAAAACAGAGAGATTTGTGAAGAAACCAGAGAAAGAATAAACTCCTAAATGCCTATTAACATGCGTCGAAGAAGCCATTATATCTTGTGTACCTTTCAAAACGCAGATGATGAGAGCAAACAGAACATTAATTCTGCCTGTTGTTTTGTATGGGTTCCCTGTTTCAAGGACGGAATACAAATTTTGCCCATCGCTGTTACACAAAGTGTTCTAAGATGTATGTAGACATTTAAGACGTTCCATAACGAGAACTATGATTCTTGCTTTCAAAACGTTATTAACATTATCACGAAAGAAATATTGGTTTGATGCAGTCTATAGAAACCGTTCTGCAGTATGCGAAGCGGTAGAAAGTCTTTCATCAAAATGACGGTTCTTAAGAAGTTAAAATGGGTCGCTTTCCTTTGCACCGCTGTAGTAAAGGCCCGTTCATTTTAAACCAATTTGCATTGCTGATTCAGGAAAACGTAACAGTGACTAATAGATATTTGAGATTCTCCGACGCTTATGCCTGATTTTCTGCTTGCGAGTTATGTTATGGAAACAGTCCCTAAGAACGCCAGAGGAAAACTAAGCCCTGATTTCAAGAGTCCTTTTGTTGACAGCGTCAGTCTGGAAGGCTCATGTCGCATCCCTTTATCTTCACGGACGTAGCGTCCATTGAATATCAAGTAATAAAGGATTTCGAATACGCGGTTGTAAGCTAATTGAAGGAGCATTAGCTGAAGAGATTGAGGAATACGACGAAAGCCTCAGTCAGGGTAGTCGATTTTCGAAGTGGCTCCCTACAGAGTATTGCAACTGCGCAGGCGTGCTCCGAGATGTGTTACAGAAACTACAGAAACTTTTGAGACAAACTGCATGTGTGATGGCTGTAGGGGGCCCTTGAGGCAGGCCTATTACGTGCGGTTGCCGTGATGTGTGAATGTGTGAATGTGTGGTTACTTGCGGCAGAGACTAAATGCAAGAAAGTGAAAGCGATATGGGAAGATAGAACGAAAGAATAAGAATACGGAATTGAAAGAGAGAAATGATTAAGAAAATAAAATAAAAGCAAGAATGACAGGAAAATGGAGTGAGGAAAATAGAAAGGAAGAAAGATATGGAACGGTATAAAGAAACGAAGAAAAAGGACGAAGGAAGAATAGGAAGAAGAGAGAAAGAAAGGAAGGAAAGAAACGAAAGGGAACAGAAAGATAACCAGAAATTAAGGAAGAGGCTACTGTAGGGGAAGAGAGAAACAAAATGAATAGGAAAGAAAACAAAAGAGGATGGGAGAATGAAACCATAAATTAATGATTGCGTAAATGAATGAGACCGACACAATTAACAGCCGTCAATTAAAAATGCAGTTTGGTGATCAGTAGGGCGACTTTCTACAAGTACCTTGCCCCGAGGCCAGTAGCACCTTTGGCCCATCTCGCCGAGGCAGGCCCCTTCCTCTGGTTCTGTCATGTAGCCCCAGTCGATGTCGCTACCCAGGAAGTTGAGGAACATGGATGGTACCTGAGTGCCCGTCGGCTCGTTACCTCCCGCCTCAATCAGCAACACCTTCCAGTAGGGAATCTCGCTCAGTCGACTTGCCACAACCGACCCTGCGAAGAGATGCGCGCAAGAAACAGCGAAACACTTAGAACTTTGGAATCTCGCTTACATAATAAAATGTACAGGCCATTAGGCACATCGGCATCGGCGCTTCTGTCACAGGACACTTCGGCTGGACAGGGAGTAAAAACGTAAAACAGAACAAGTTGTTTCATACCTGCGGATCCTCCACCCACCACGATGTAATCGTAAATGGGGTCCGGAACGATGCGACTTTCAGGGCGGCCGCAGGGGTCCTCCAGGTCGCACTGCGACCGAATGAAAACTTCGAGCAGCCCCATGAACAGCATGAAGGCTGAGCCCCCGCACGTGCTGGCCAGAGTAGGCCCCGGCTGCGTTACCGGACAGTTACAGGTCATCGTGTATGAAAAGAGCGCGTTTTGCTTCCGGCCTGGATCAGAATTAAACAACAGAACATATTAAGGAAATACGCCTACAGTCCACGACTGTAATCTTGAGACTTGCAAGGGATGCAGGAAGTCCGTAACGTTAAAGGCAGACGCTATCCTTCCTCCTTCACCCCACTTCCTCACCCCGCAAGTCTCAAGATTACAGTCGCGAACTGTACTCATACTTGTTTTTTTTACTGATATTTATGGTGTATTTAACGACACTGCCATCGGCTCAGATTTTACAGCTTCGAATGATAGGATGAATAATGAATTCGAAAAGATGCGGAAGGAAGCCGTCGTCAACTCGTTCATGTTACTAGCCCAGTTTTACACAGACCATGAACAGAGCCTGTCGGGGTGGCGCCTACGGGATGTATGATCGATAATTTGAAAGCTAGCGTGCTCTTTATGTCCGAAAAATATCTACTTTTTGCGATCAGATTTACGAAAGAGCAAAATTACGCTATTTGGGTAACCATTATTGAGCGCTAGAACACATAAAGCATTTTCTGCAGCATTGTTTAGAAGTACGTGTATGTAATAGGCCACGGACAATATTTTGTACAATATTAAATTCAATACATTGTTTCTATTCTCTTAATATTGATAATGTAGCTGGATGCCAATGTGTGAAGTTAGTGGTTATTGTGGAATAGGATTAGTTTTAACAAATTAGACAAAAAAATATTTTTAAGAACAGGCACATGGAGTTGTTAAGTGAAATCGTGTCTAAGAGCTGTAACCAGAGACCAATGCCATAACCTAAGAGAACACTTATACATAATTATTGCAACGGCAATGTACCGGCCTGAACTGCTTTAATTTTCTTCTCCGTGAAGGTTATGAAACACACATGACCAAAGTGTTAGTGTACGAATCCTGTTGGTTAGACTTGTTGAGCAACAAAATAATAATACGATAGATCGAGGCGTGTGTATGTCGTTACCTGAATGGTCCTAGGACACGAAAAAGACTCAGAATGTACTTGCATTCTTTTACTTTTTCAGTCTGAAGAATGTAAATTTATGAACAAACTTAACTCATCCGTCGTAAATGTCTGCAAACTTCTAGCAGACTGCACGGCTCAACAACTCAAAACACACAGATTTAACGAATACTGGACCGAAATTGATATGTTATTTCCCGCTTTTTGCAATAGGCCGTTCCCCTAATAATCATACAGTCTTCTAATAATGTATCTTTCATTTATTATTGTTGTGGAAAGTAGAGTGCTAATGAACGAGTTACCAAGTAGACAGGAAGTATTACTATTGTCACAACAATTGTATATATTGCAAATTTTATTTTTATTTACATATAACTGTCATTCTCACGTTTTGTGGCATGTATGTTACTGTTATTACTTTAGTGACCATACAATTATCATACAATTTTCTTCCTCTCTTTTGAATAACTTAGCGTGAGAGAATAGTACGAGTATTATTACAGTTGTGCGTTTCTCATAGAAATTCTGTTACGTGGTGAATGTAGTGAAAGTGCTGGGAGGTTGAGGTGAGGTCATGATGTGCTGCACTGTCAGAGGGTCGGTCGTATTTCCGGCATGACAACAATTGCTCTGCAACACAGAAACCCTAAAACAATATATAATTCTGCTCTTAATTGCGTGCTGTATAAACTAAAGTCATTGGGTATGATCAGCTGTCTTGTCCAATCAGGTACAGCTCACCTCCTTATACTGTTATCAGTGGCGTTCGACCCTTTCTTTGACTAGATCATTGCCTTCTAATTCGATTTCGAAGTGTATCAGGTATGCACTTCGATTCTGTCTGAGGTTTTTGCAGTCTTTATCCAGATAAGCGTTTTTCCGATGACTTCTTTTTGGCATACTTTACTCAGCGCTACAACACGTATTTGGGACATAACCGGTCCGAAAATCGTTCGTTGCACTTGTCATGAGTCTTCTACATGTCTTGAAATGAATCGTGGAACTGTCAATATCTTGAAATACTCAGTGTTCGCTTAATACCCAATTCTGTCCAGTTGACTGTGTGCAACAGTCTTCTCATCTCAGTCGACGATCAAAACTCAGTAGCGAGAGAGCGTTATTAAATATCCGATTACTTTTTTCATTGATATTTAGAAACGACAAGTTTAATATAGGCTCGTATCAAAGTACAGGTATGCATAATAATTCCTGTCTTCACAACAATTCACAGCATAGCGCTTTGAATTTATTTCTCTTTGAAATTTACTAACAGAAGGAAGATGACTGTCTTCTGGGATGTTACGCCGTGTAGCCTAGTAGATAATGGAAGCAGCAATCTCCTCTGAAACGTCGGTAAACTTCTACCGGACTACACGGAGAAACATACCAGAAGACACCAATCTTCGTACTCGTCGCAGTTAGTACCCGATTTTAATATTTTCACAAAAAAACTTTGAGATATTTAAAAATAGAGAAGTGCTTAGACTAATGATCAGAACTGGAGTCCAGGTGATGAATAGGTTTTGTGGAGTGTCAAGATGTCTCCGTGTTTTAATGTGAATCAGCTGCGTTGGAACAAACGCTTGTCTCTGCAAGAATCGATATATTTTTGTAAGATTTGATGTCTTCACAGCGGTGAGTATGAAGATTTCTGTCTTCTGGGTTCTTGCGCCGTGTAGTCTGGTACAAGTTTACCAACGTTTCAGAGGTCATACTGCCTCCGTCATCAGGGCGATTGAGACTACACAGCACAACAACCCAGAAGACAGAAATCTTCGATATATTTTGGGTTGCAAGACTACTTAAGAACCCAGCGAATGGAATGAAGGCACGCGAATCGTAACAGACATTGGTTTTTATTTAGATGCGTTATTAATCCAACGCCATTAGTGATTTAGGAACGCCACTGACAAATATGATATAAATCGTATTGTAATCTGATGAAAGCTGAGTCAGCTAAGTCTTCGTGTATTTGCGTTTATTTATTTTGAACAAAGAGAAAATCGTGTTCACGATATTCTCGTCCCAGTTGTAGGAATTAGATGAAGCTGTTCTTGGAATGAAGACTAATGTCTCTTCCAGAAATGCAGGAGTGTTTCATAATCTTATGCGGCTCTCTGCAGGAACCATGTCTGTATTGCGCGGTGTAAATAATTACAAGCACGTGTTTATTTACAGCATAGCAATTAACGCGCCTTATTAAGTTGGTCATTTGTCAGCACGGTATGACGCTGCCTCAAGTTGAGGATGAATACAGTCTCTTGGTGAGGAGGACAACTGCAAGTATATTGAACGATCAGTCGCGAACAGATTACAAGTGCCTTGTGCTTTAACCTGATAGCTTAAACTGAATAGATTCATAATAAATTGGCAACTGTATATATGTAAATTATGTTTAAACTATGACGAACAGGCCGGGTGTCAATTGTCATTTTAATAACTTACGTTTATTGCAAATGAAATACACCGAAGACTAATTAGTCTTCCATTTTCAAATATTATCCCATAAAGGCCTCGCATTCCGTTAGAAGTGCTTCACGCTGTATCTTCTTAAGCTGTTTGTAGATTATCTCGTTCTTTTTAAATTCATTACCGAAACATTTGACAAATATTTATAAGTTTAAAGGACTTTCGTTTCGTGCTCATGTGTCACTTTGTAGTTTTTTGCCGTCTTCCTCTTTTGTTTTCATTTTGCCTTGTCGGTTTTCTAGTGGTGTGCCAACCTTTGAGCGATGCATGAAATTGGCCAGTGACAGTGGTATTATTTCGTACGAAACTCTGATGACATTTCAGTGGTCTTCACTCACGAGTAACATTTTAAGCACAGTGTGCGCTTTGCGCTAAGCGGGTGGAAGAGGGAATGTGTGACGTGACAGCGATGTCCGTGTTGCATAACTTGTCGGCTCGTTCTCACAAGCAACTTCATGACTACACACAGCTGCATCTCGAAGTTACTGTGTTCGACTGTCGACCTGTGCATTTATGCTGCTTCTCTTTAAAATGTCACGTTTTGTAAGAGCTGAGTAATAAATAATACTAAAAATCTTATCGCTTGTGATTTAAAAAGTGATATGTAAAAGTACACGAAAGGTTTTCTTGTAGAAAATATGCATGCATCGTTTCTGTTCTCGGACTGATATCTTGGAGACTGAAAGAAATGTGTTAAAATCGAGTATAATTCACTAGTAAAATCTCTAGCTCCACTGCTGTTGGTGAAGCTGAAGTCACTAATGAGGTTCAACGTAACACGTTTTGTCCTGAGAATATAACGGTTGTTCTTGGGTAGAATGTGACGTGAGTGCTAATTGCCCAGTTTATATTCTGACCTGCAAAAAACTGCTTAGGAAATAAGCAGTTCTGGGACCAACCTTGTGAAGCCTAATTTCCTTAAAATAGGGCAAATTATGTCGTGAGGCTGGCAAGAAACATAAAGAAATAATTGGGCCTACATAATTTGTCAGTTTCTGTGCATACGCACATAACTAGTAAACCCCATGAATTGCAATGATGTCAAATTTGACTGACGTGGTTAGGTTCTGCATTCCTGTTACATTACTGAACAATTTGGCTCAAGCTGTAACGCTTCTGAATTGCATTCGAATCACGACCGGTTTAAATTCAGGCCAGAACATTGTCATGAGAGACCTAATTTGGCGATGAAAGAACAGAATTCGGACGTCATCAATTATTTATACGAGATTTAGCTGTTACGCTGTCTCGAAATAAGGGGGTGGGACAAATCGTTATATTGTAGGCAGAGTAATTTGGGAGTTGGTGGGAAATCAAACACACATCCAATTTACCATCTGTGGCATTTTAACACCCGCATCACCAGGAATTAGATTGTTAAAGTGAAGAAAGATGAAAGTGGTTATCCTCCGTAGATGTCTGGTATAGTGTAGGAAGGAGACGAGTCATGCTGTGAATTTACTTTTACGAAGGCTTCTGTGTCTCGTATTATCGTCTGCTTCTAAAATGTTAACGATTAAAGTATATTTTGCATCTTTTTTTTAGCGTTTTGGAAGGTGGTCCCTCACTCTACAACGTAAGAATAAAATAGTATTAAAATATATTAAAATTGTCCGTCAATCACAATAAAGTAATATAAGATAATTAAATGGTTAAAATATTATCCTTTGTTCCGTATCGAGTACTCGATTTACATATGGAACATTCTCGACATGTTTCGGCTTTCATAGAGCCGTCATCAGGTGTATGTTATAAACTCTTAATTCAATTGATTGACGGACAATTTTAATATATTTTAATACTATTTTAAATAAAATCACAATATGACGCACCTACAATATCGTAAGAATAGAGATTGAGTGATGTTTGAGAACAGGGTGCCGAGGGAACATTTGGGCACAAGAAGAGGCTGTAGCAGAATGCTGAAGAAAACTGTATTGAGAGGAATTTAATAATTTTATCTCTTCAGCAATTATTATTATTATTATTATTATGGTGAACATTTCTGAAGGTTCGAACTCAGTCTTGGAGACCTCATGCTGATGGAGATCCAACCCCCTCAGTGTGTTTAGTGCTCTTTTATTCACGATGATGGTTCCTTCCAGATCCTTACTCGCCGTTCGTAAAACTATCACCCCCCCATGTGACTCAACAGAACATTGTTATGCCTGACCTGTGTCTCGAGCCACCAATTGCAATGTCGCAATTGGATAAGTCGTGATGGTTTCGTCTCAGAGTTTAACTCAAGGCAGCAATCCGCCCTGCGGCACGCCAAGCACCAAGACGAGGTTCACCTTGGTCCGGAAAGCGTTTTACCTCGTGTGATCGTCTGTAATTTCGAAAATGGAATGGCGCTGCTACGTAGGACCCCACCCATCGGCTCAGATGCAGCACTTCCTATATGAGCCTACAAGCGGTTGCCTTTTGCTGAAACCGGATTTTTCCCCCCTCAATTTTTAACCTCATTCAACAGCTGCAGGTCCTCCATTATAACAGTAATGACATACGTTATTCTTTGGCGCAATGCTTTTAACGATTTGTCTACCACATTTGATCGCTTAACATTTCCGACAGTCTGTTTTGAGGTATGTAGTCGTGGCCGGCCGACACACACGCTTTTGAAATGCTGGAAGGTATCTCCTCAATTCGGGAGTGGTCAGTGACCCGTTGGCTTTCTTATATAGAAATGCTGTACCAGGATTGACCAACTGATGACCCACGAAAGATAAGCCTTCTAGGCCAAAACTGTACAGCTGTGAAACATGGTCTCTTATATTGAGTGTTTCAAGGCGAAGTGCTCAGGAAGATATCTGGGCCAAAGAGTGATAGAGTAGGGAAGTGAAAAATATTTGATATTGTCCAACGAGGAACCTTGTGATTTATACAGATCACTCTGTGTTGTCACAATAGTGAATTAGAGGAAGCTATGATGGGTTGGACATGTAGCTGGGATGAGAAGTCGAGCCATGGATATAAAATTGTGGTGGGGATAGCCCACTTGGAAGAACGAGGAGATGACTTGATACCATAAATATGATTATTGAGGATGTATGTTACAAGGGTGAAATGTGGATTGAACTTGCTAAGGATCGTGTCTATTGACGGAGTTCGGTATTAGAGGTGTTGGATTATCATGTTCTGCTGCTGCTAATTACGAGAGGCCTTATTGCGCACGTGACCACAATGTTGTTCGAATTTTGAAGTATGAAACTCGACAATGCAACTAGGAACTAGACCTGAGTAAGAATTTATTGTTTCACTTGGTTGCTTAACGGCGATGTAGGTGTATGTGGTACCGAATTTCATAATATTTATTGGTGTCCATATTAAGGGCAATGCGCACCCTTACACGCGTATAAATTGCTGCTCAACTTGATTTAAACCCTTTGCCCATCTATTGAGTTGGAACACTTGAAATACCCTTAACACTGGAGTCGTGTGTAGAATGATAGAACGAATTGATTATAAGCTTTGCCTGGACATGGAAAAACTCTCTCAAAAATAGACCGTGTAATGTGTTATGTGTGGCTTCTGTCTGTCCAGTGTTATCATAAAATTTAGAGGAGTTTTTGTTTGTTAAACTACAACGACGACGACTTTAATAATGAACAAATTCATACTACAGACATGTGAGGGAAATTTCGAAAGCTGCTTTAAATTGCAGATATGGAGAGACAGCTGTAGATATTTTCTCAGATAGGTAAGGTTGCTGAGCAAAAAGATCCATTCGCTAATCCCGGAGTGCGTGTCCATTTTATGCTACTTGGCAACTGTATGGAAGTTCACTTTTATCCT